TATTTTTTAGCATAAAATGAGTTGCATTATAAAATTAACTTTTACTTTTAGGCTCTCAATGTGGCCTAGTAGCTTTAAACTGGCTTTTACACAAAAATCACTTTCAAAACTAGAAGATGTATTTCAATCATTGGCAGAGATCTGGGGACCTAATGTTATCTCTTTAAAAGAAAAGCAATTAGGATTGAATAAAAGATTGGAAATCGAGAAATTTGATTTGGAAAAATTAAAAGCTGCCCAAATAATCGAAAGGTTTGTTGATTGTTTAATTTTGGTATTCTTGTGAAATTTCACGATGAAGCAGTGACGATTGAATTTTAATTTTAGCTCACTAGAAGATGAATCACAGCTTGAAAAAGCATTGCAACTCCGAACTTCAGATTCAGAAAGAAAGAAACGCAAAATTAATGAAGTGGCCGATTTTAATGATTCAGGTTTTTATATAATTCATATTTTGATTATTAATGCGCATCTATTTAAGAATATAATCTCAATTATTTCAGATATAAAAGAAATCGAACAACTTCTCGCAATACCATCATTTCAAGAAAGAGTTGACAAAGAACCATTGAGGGAATTGTGTGAGATGCTCAACAAAAAATCATCAAAAGATAAACTTGTAAATGAAATGGTAAGGCCCATTTTAATTGGAGTTTTATTATTGAGGATTTTTTATTTTAATGCTTCGATAAATTCACATACTAAACAAAGGAATTATTATCAGTTTCGATCTACAAACAATGCTTTTCGAGAGTTTTGTGATTATGGGACAAAAGCCGATTGTCGAAGACATCGAAAGACTCCTCAAGCTTGTCGTAGGGTTAGTTCAATTAATATTCTCAATTCAATTAACATTTAAACCACTGATTAATACTAATTTTACTTTTATATAGTTGCATTTTAAACCCATGCTTCGTCCCCATACTGAATTAGAGCTTGGTGATTGTTCGTATCTTAACACATGTCATCGTATGGATACCTGCAAATATGTTCATTATGAACTTGACGAAGATGAAGTTGGATGGAAGTATATTCAACGAAAACCAATACCTCCGTGTGTAGTAAGCATTCATTTGAATTTTATTGTCAATTTTTATTATTAAACTAATAATTATTATTTTATAGGTATTTACACCACCAACTAAAGTGGTAGGTATTGAATAATAATTGCAACTTATATTGGTTTTGAATCGCCTATTTTTTATGTGCATTTGACACCTTATTATGATGAGACGATAGCTTCCGCCTCAATGGATTAACTGTGATGTACGAAAATTTGATTTTTCTATCCTTGGAAAATTTACGGTCATCATGGCAGACCCTCCATGGGATATACACATGACGGTTAGTTATTATATAGATTCGATAATACGGATACTATAGTATTGAGCACTATTTGTTCTTTTAGCTACCATATGGAACAATGACGGATGACGAAATGAAAGCTATGGCCATAGCTAATTTACAAGATGAAGGGCTAATTTTCTTATGGGTCACCGGACGAGCTATGGAATTAGGTAGAGAGTGTCTTAACATTTGGGGGTAAATATAAATGTTTATTGTTATTATATTATTCACTAAATATTAAAATCTTCTATTTGTTAGATATGATAGAGCCGATGAACTTGTTTGGATCAAAACTAATCAACTACAAAGATTAATCAGAACTGGACGTACAGGACATTGGCTCAATCATAGTAAAGAACATTGTCTAGTCGGAATCAAAGGAAATCCAGAAGTATTAAATTGGGGTTTGGATTGTGATGTGCTTGTAGGCGAGGTATGATTTTATTAATTAGGTGTGCTTCACATCTGGCATATCTATTAAAATATATAATTTTTCATATCAGGTACGTGAGACAAGTCGGAAGCCAGATGAAGTCTATGGCTTGATTGATCGCTTAGCTCCTGGCACGCGGAAATTAGGTTAATACTATTTGATTAATAATTTTATTTATTGTGAAAGATATCTGATATTTTTTCTATATGATAGAAATATTTGGTCGTCAGCATAATACGCGTCCTGGATGGTTGACTCTCGGTAATCAGCTAGAAGATGTAAGGCTTTACGAACCCGATGTTGTAGCCCGTTACAATGCCCGCTACCCAGATAACCCATGTAAAGAAACACCTCTGCCGCCGGATTGGTAACCAATTGTTGATTGGTCGAATAGACTATGCTTATCTATATACGTTGTGATATTTATTCCCCTTCCTTTTCATATCACTGCAATTTATAATGGAAGTTCAACTGTTCAACGAATTCTTGTCCACGAGAAATTCTCTTGAATTTCAAAGAGCTTTGTTGACCATTTCTGTTATAGCTTGTGATAAACTTTAAATTTAAAGACCAAGTTTTTAATAGTAACTTCTACATGACTTTTCGGCGATTTGTTCGAATATTAGAACCCATTCAAATATACCTTAATGTTTCTGATCCTAAAAAATTTCAGGATTATATGTAAAATTAATTCCCCGACATTTTTTTATTAGTTCTCCAAGCTAGACACCTTTTTGCCGGGTTGATCAAAAAATTGGGATCAGAAAATCTTAGTCATGTGAACGTTTATTTTTTTCGTGATCAGAAACATGGTCAGATTCAATGTTTTTGCATTATAACGTTAACGATAAAGTCTTAGTTAAAGAATAAAAATCTGACATTCTTTGACCAACAACATTAGCTAAACTAAACTATATCAATCATTGTTATTCGTATCCAATTGTGCTAGAGAATCATTCATTTTGCTATGCCAAATGATTAATAAGAAACTTGTGTTAGAGAATAAAATAGTAACTCTTGCTTTCTATTTTTGTTATTCTTAAACAAATATAACAAGAGTGATTTTCATTGTTTCTATCCCTTAAACTATCAGGTTTAGCGGACAAATTTGTCTACTAAAATTCCATAAATTTATATTTAATATATTTTTACCAAAAATTAATTATACATGCGGTAAAATTAATTCTATGATAGTTGATCAAATGAATTACTAATTGTTAATTAGTAATTAATTGGGTAACCATATTAATAAGATGCTGTATTAATGCCAGAATTACCAAATATAGAAATATGGAAACATGTATAATTATAATTATAAAAAAATTATAGTTATCTATAAGCAATTTTAAAAAATTTTTATTATTAATCTTAAGTTTTAAAAATATTTTATAATAAGACTACAAAATAAATCAAAGCTTATACAATCAAATCTCTTTATAGTCATGTTTATTTATACTTACATCTCTTTATAGTTATTCTATTTTGCTTTTTCATTTATATATAAATATAATAAAAAAATTCCTCTATAATCACATTCTCTCTATAGTTACCAAAATTTGCTTTTCCAATAGTGATAACTATAGAGAGATTTAATTGTATCACATTGATTAAAAATACATATATTATATTTTTATTTTATGATGTATAATATCTATATTTATCAAAAATGTAGATTAATGAAATTTTAAATGATAATTCTTATGTGATTTTAGTCACATGTTTTAATTTTATTAGTTAATTTAATTCTCTACATTATATTATAAAGTTTTAGCACTTCTGAAATGTATATCAGATTTTAATAAATACAATTACTAGTGATATAGATTATATATATTTTCATATTCCTATATTTGATAATTCCAATATTAATATAGTATTTTATTAATATAATTATCCAAATTAATTACTAATAAACAATTAGTAATTTGTTTGCTCAATTACTGTGAGAAAAAGGTAGAATTAATTTTATCATATATAAAATAAATTAATAAGAATATGTAAATTTTTAACAATCAACAAAATAATTTAATACAAAAAAATGAAAAATAGATATTTAAATTTAACTTGAAGTGCTAACAAAAAATGTCAATAAGGCAAAAAATAAAATATTTTCTGGTACTATTATATTTAAAATTTTATGCTAAATATTTTTATTTGAAAACTAAAAGATAATTGAATTTTTATATAATATATAATCTTGTGATTTTATTAGGAGAATACTAAATCTGAATAGTATTAAGTTAATTCAATTATAATTTGATTTGATTTGATTTGATTTGACAAGTAATATCACATACAAAAGAAAAAAATTTTATTTATTACAAGATATAAACATATCAATAAATATTAATTTATTACAAAATAATATTGCTTTTAAAGAAAAAAGAAAAAAAAGAAAAGAAAATTAAGAATATTGTTATATAATAAAATTTCATATTAATTATTAATCAAAATTATATTTGATCTTATTGAATAATTTTGAGAATATATGTTTATATTTTATTTAATTAAAATCTTTATATTTATATTATTTTATATTTTCATATTATATTATTTATATTATTATTTATATTATTATTTATATTATATTTATATTATTATTGATATTATTATTTACAAATATTATATAGATCATTTATTTATATTATATTAGATGATTTATATTTATATTAAATTATAAGATAAGCAAATAAGTGGATGATCAAGTGAACAAATAAGCAATTTTCTTGTAAATATCATTGATAATTTTAATTTAGTAATTTTCTATAAAAAAAAGCATATATTTTAGCTTAGAAAAATTATTTAATCAAGTCAAGCTAATTCAAGTTCTTATAAAAATATTAATAAATTTCTTTGATAATAATATCCTTTTGAAATTAACACAATTAAAATGTTAATATAATTCCTTTTATTATTTCATTTTTTAAATTTTAAGTTTTATATTAGTTTTGTTACATATTACTACCATTTTAGTTTTTATATATGAGAATATTTAGAAATGGCTAACAGTAACTATGTTCACAGCAGATTTTAAATAAGAAAGATATAAATGACAAAAGTGGATGATTAACAATAATGAACTAATAAGAATATGAGTATAAGATGAATATTTAAGTGTATTTGAATAATAATAAAACTAGATATATATTATAAATCAAAGTTAAAAAGTGTATTGATAAGATAAAAGACAATATGATGACAAGTGAAAACAACAAAAGTAAAACAAAGATAAGATAAAAGAAAACAAAAGAAAAACAAAAGAAAAACAAGATACAAATAAACAAAAATAAAGTGAACAAAAGAAATAAACAAGAAAGTAAAAAAGACAAGACAAAAGTTAAAACCAAAATATAATTTTCTTAATTTATTTCAAGTCAATTCTCATGTTACATATATAGCAAATTTGAGTTATGCTGATCCATATGTTATTTATATATATAGATTACAAAGTAAAATTAAGTAAAGATCTATAATATATTGGAATATGATAACTATTGTGTAATATTAAAAAGAAATTTGTATAAAATCTATGTGTCACTAATTAAATTAATATAACAAGAAATTAAAAATAAAGTATTAATAAAATTTAAAATATAAAATTATATGATAATAATATAAATTGATTGATAAATTAAATAATGATGAAATCTAAACTAAAATGATGTAATAATAATATAAAATAATTGAATAAAATATAAATTATTATTATTGGATAAAAATATAAGAAATATAGAAAAATAAAAGTAAAAAAAAAGTTTAAATGAATATTATTGTACTAAAAATATAATGTGATAAAGTTAATGAAAGGTAAAATGATAACAGAACCCTCTGCTTAAGAATTTTGCTCTACAAAATTAATTAATAATTATAATAAGTTCAAGTGCTGATTGTTTATTATAGAGTTTGAGATGATCTTTATTATATGAATTTTTGAGAACTTTGTCTTTCATCAAATAAAGTTTATAAGAATTGTTCTTATTAATTCAAAAATTGTTAAAATTAATAAATTAACAAAGTAATATAATAATGAAAGAACAAAAACTAAATGAATTACAATTAATGGAGTTCACTAAAGGTTCTAAAGATCTCCTGTGGTAACTTGTATGCAAACTAACTAAATATTATC